AAGCAACATCAACTTGGTAGGATCCCAGGAAATGCGAGGCTCGTCAAGTGTACTCGAATAAGTGAAGCAGCAAAAGTACAGCTAATCAATTAACCCTTGTTCAACAAACATGTTCTGATTGCCAAAAAAAGGTGACGAAATTGAAGAGGGGTGACTACACAAGCAAAAATCCCAAAATGGGTCGTTAAGGAATTGGCTGAAAGCGCGCAATTAGCATGACAACGAACCATGAACGTGCGATTTGATTGCAAGCCTGCAAAAGATTCGGATCACGCACGCGTCTGCAACCACCATCATTACACTGACGTTGCAAACTATTGATACAGCATGCTTTGGATTGTTTAGCAAGTTCTGAATTCAAATAACCCCAAATGAGTTTCAAATATAATATGTGGGAACCCCTACTTCGGGGATAACTCCTCTAAAAAGGCGTTTTAAACTCTCTTGTCGTTCTAATAGAGCAGCAGATAACAATTGGGAAAATATACTATTAGGATAAATAAAATTTGCTTCATTATTTGTGCAATCTGCTCGTTCGTTTTTTTTTTTTTTTTTTTAGTGGAGGACGCATCTGAAGTTTCTTCGTCTCAGCTTTTTAAAGCTGTACTAAAATGAGCAAGGATTGGATGTACGAAAAAGGTGTACAAAGATAGCTCACTCCACGTTGTTGCAGTTGCGTCCTCTTCATTCTTCATTCTGGAAGACTAATTCTTTGGGTCAAAACCACGGCCTGTGATCATGGCAGCCCTGGATGGGAACGTCAGCCATAATGAGAGGAACAGGGTGACCGTCCAAAGACTTTCTGTCGATGGCCCACGCTTCCCGCCAGACATACAACCCATGGACAAGCCCAAACCCAACGCACAGGGATTCCATGTGCAAGACTATGAGATCACTTATCGGACGTGTGTAGCGATCTTCTTGGCCGTGCTAGCTTCAGTAAGTATGATCCCACTGAAGGAATACTATCTGGGTAGCTACGTCACTAAACCGTTCGACGAAGTGCGAGACGAGATCGCAGCCAGAAAGCTCAACCAGATGGGCGTCGTTATGAGTGGAGTGCACTACTACGACACGTTCAGCCGATCCCAATTCCCTCTAATCGACTTAGAGACCAGAGAGGAGCTCTCTCGCTCTACGGCTTCTGACATCTCGCTTACCGATTTTCTCGTTCGTGCCAACTTACGTCGAGACGATCTTCTCGCTGGTCTGCCAGAAGAAATGCTAAATCAACCTGTAGACCTCATGGTAGACGTATTAGCTCCGCTTTGTGGCCCTGTCACTGATACCATCATGTCATGGGAGACTGAACCACAGCTCCTATTCGGCAACTGGTTCCCCGCTATTCGTCATGAGTTCTGCCGCGACTTTCACGATACATTTCCACTCGACCGGTACTTTAATCACGGCTCCACTGCGCCAATTGATGCGAATCTTTCGAAGGTTGGAGACGTTACTCTGGGCCTCATCGCAGTAGTCAACATGTCCGAAGTTTACTTACGCCACTTCAACGACGAGCTTGTGGTGCGGAAGATCATGAAAAATGTGCAGGAAGGATACGTAGACATGAGCCTACCAGACTACACTAACGCCGTCGCTGACGCTATTGTTGCTCGTTACAGTAAAGGGATCTCGTTAAGGGATGTCGTGGCGTTGCTACCGGGATCATTCGATATCCACCATGTAGCACTTGTGGATGTTTTGGGTGTAAGCGCTTTATTAGCGCTCTATTTGGAGACACAACAGCTCACAATGGGGGTGAATGTCAACGGAGAAGCGGCGATTCTGGCCGAGGTGACTCATGCCGCTGCCTCGTTCTTCACGTCGGATTTCTTGATTAACACGGTTGGGATGCATTTAACCTCTACAATGCATTTGGCTCCATTCTGGAACTGCGCGATCAAGCATACAACAATGGACAAAGCCATAACGGTTGAAGATGTGGATGCTGAGGCAATTAAACAGTGTGGAAATGACCTATCGCGTATTATTCCGACGTTCGCGGTGAATCTCATGTTTCTCTTCCAAAAAGACGATCGAGACTACACTAAGCTGGATAACACGACAATATACACATTGGGGCGTCGTCGTGAGACTACAGCTGGGTATGTGGCGCTCACGCTTCCAGAGACGCTGACAGAGTCTCCGTTACTGGCAATTGACGGTACAGCGTGGACGAAGTCTCGCTCGAATAAAACACCCTCTCAACCAGCAACGACGCCGTACGGATACTTGTATACACCAGACTGTCGGGGTATTGTCGACTCTGTCATGCAGCAAAGTGGACGTAATGTACAGAAATACCAAGCGTATATGGGAGACGGACTGGGAAACTGCGCGTTCCGAGATTCCCAGGAGACTGAGCTGCAGACACTGTGTAGATTATTCATGACGTCAGAGGAGGTGCTATTCCGTGATCTAGACGGGAACCTTATTCACCTTCCAACGTGTGCGTCGTTAGTCACCTCGAGTGATGCCGAAATTCAAGTTATCGAGGAGGAAAATCTACGACAAATCGAGTGGTTTATGATAGACACGACGCTGATCAACCGACGTATCCGAATCCAAGACAACACCAGTCGACAGATTCGCACTTTCCTGCTGATTCTCAACTTGATAGGCGCTTCGTATTACGCTCTCGAGTACATTTACATCCTCAAGAGTGTCTGGATTTTCATCCGTAACAGCGTGTATCGACCTGTAGAGGAGATCCAATCCCGGCTCCAAACATCAGAGTCGATCAACAGCGATGCAATCTCGTTAGTTCGCATCGGTTTGCTCGAGTTACTCCAATGTGATCCAGCAGACGGAGCCTTGGAACATCCAGGCACGATGGTTTTACTGTATCTTGGCGCTATCGGCGCTCTAAGTAACATTTTCTCGCTTGGATGCAGCGCTCAACTGTCCACTGCAGAAGGCAGTATCGTGATTTACTGCACTCCTGCTATCCCTGTTCGCAGTCTCACCCTCGTTTTCACGACATTAAGCAGTAGCTACTGGGTGATCCGAGTCACATTACAGACCAGATCATTAGCGATGCGTCTGGATCACGCCGCTCGGAATGATTTTCTTCGGTTCTGGACGTTGAACGCCACTGCAGTGTTGGTCATCCACTTTACGTGTAAAGTCGGAGCTGATCTCATGCTGCGTAACGCCGAGTTACACTCTGATCCGCATCTGTACGCGATCTTTGGTGGCTTGGCTGTGGCTCTTATTATTTCCGTGGGGTTTCTACTCTTGCATTTAGCATCTACAGATTCGAAGAAACTCAAGAATATGATGAGAATACGCACGTCACGGACGCTGTGGCGTGAGGTTTCTGCACGGGAAACGGATGACCGTGCGTTTGTAGCGAAGTGGAGTACCAAAGGGCTGGACTCGGTACTGTATCACTGTGCCACTCCTCAGATCGCTCGACAATTGGAATTGTTCGGTAGTCGGCAACAAGGTGAGTCCGGTTTGGCCAGGAAGATCAAGAAGTTCGTCGTGGATCAACCAACTGGAGTCAAGATGCATCAGTTTGTTGCGGTGCACTGTGCAGCCGGATCGCATGCCCATTTGAAGACTGTTAAGTGGTATCTGGAACCGAACGGGACTGGAGGAGTCATGAGTGTGAATCCGACACCAAAGACCACATCTCGCGTCGTATGCACTGTAGATGACACTGCAAGCGACTAGGATATATAGAAATATTGCGAGGAACTGACAATGAAAGAGTAGTTTGTATAATCTTGGTCCGGAGACCAAGGTGAAATGCTCTACGACAGATTATGTAAGCACGGGCAGAATGCTATGGGCGGGGTTTCAAAGATGATCTATACCTATTAAAAATGTTTTTAGCGACGCTTTACTAATATCTTTGGCCTAAGTGGTCGCTAGAGACGCCTTCCACAAACGACTGGACGTGGTGGCGCCAACGCTCTTGCTAGCGTAGATATAACCGCCTCAGTCTTCGAGTCGTTCTCCCCCCTACACGACACCAAGACGAGGAGGAATTTCAATCCCCTTCGAGCGTAAATATGACGGAACGACTACCCGTTGAGATACTCGAATTATTGTGCAGCTATTTTACAGGCTTCGACGCATTCCACTTGTCGCTCACGAACTCTTGGTGGAGATACCACTTGTCTGGTATTTCGTTCTGGAAAAGGTGTCTTCGATGCTTATATACGAATCCAGAGGCAGTGCAGTCATGGAAAAGGCAGTACATCCAGGCTCGCTCAATTCTGTTCAAACCTGTGGAACTCAATAATGGAGCTTGTCCATTCGACTCTTTCGCGTACTTCACAAATATCGAAGACCCGAATCAAGAGATGTATTTCCAGTTCACTCACATGTGTGGAAAGAGCTTCAGCTTCGATATCTGGTTCAGTCTGTTGCCAGCTTCTTGTGATGAACATTTTGGTGGTATCATTTACGGAATTCAGTCTTCCAGTCGTGAAAGTTGCGAACAACCACATTATCACCAACCATGTGTGATGGTAAGCTCGACAGGCGACCTGTACTGCTCCGTATTACCGAACCACTCCATCGTAGCGAGCAACTTAAAGCCCAATTTGTGGTATCACGTTGCTCTGACGTACAATCACGAAGAACAGCGACAAGAAGTTTACGTTAATGGCATCAATGTGCAGTCGAAGACTGGTGTGTGGCGTTATTCCTGGCATTATATGATGTATGGGCAGGTCGGAACGGGCTGGAGCTCCTCGGATCTTCCAAACTGTCCTCGCCCAGACTACTGCGGATGGTTTGGCTTTCACGGCATCATGGATACATTTCGTGTCTGGAACGGAGTGCTGGCTCAAGAAGACATAACAAGTCTAGCAAATGGTCGAATTATGGATAAAGCATCACTGCAGGCGTGTCTAAAGCAACATCAACTTGGTAGGATCCCAGGAAATGCGAGGCTCGTCAAGTGTACTCGAATAAGTGAAGCAGCAAAAGTACAGCTAATCAATTAACCGATCAGGTAAATGAATTCAACAATCAAAAACGCGAGACTTCGCCCTTTCTAGTTAACTTTAACTTTTCGTTCCATTTACACGATTTTTAAATCGTGTTAAACCCCGTTGGAGCTAGCACGGCAAAGTAATGAAACTACGGGAGGAAAGTCCCTGAAGCATCGGTAGTACTAATGCTTAAATGGTAGGATTTTATCTATCCGTAGCTACTAGATAACATGGCAATGATCTGCATCGGGCGAATAAATTCATCCTTCCAGAAACCACGATCGTGGTGCATGTATTCATAAGGGATCGATTCAACATCCACCCTCCCCTTAGGCAACCTTGACCACGACTTTGCCAATGTTCTTGCGCGCATACATGTAATCGATCGCGTCCGGAATGCTCTCCAAACCTTCAAACTTAACGGGATCAATTCCAGGCACGAGTTTCTTTTCATCAATCAGCTTGAGCAGACGCTGCATGTGCGGGTGGAACTGGTCGCGGTAGTGCCCCGAGATGAATCCACGCAGCGACGCCGACTTAAAAATCAGCTTGGGTACCAGCTCACTGGCTGTAAATTCATCCTTACCCCCGTGGTAGCCGGAGATGTGTCCAAAGGCGATAATACGGCCCTTTACGGCGATATTGTCGGCAACTGAGCGTAGCAATTCACCGCCCACCGACTCGAACACGAGGTTCACTCCATTCGGATACTCTTTTTTCAAAACTTCGTCCACATTCTCCGTGTTGTAATTAATCACGCGATCACATCCAATTGACGTGAGGTGAGCTGCTTTAGCATCCGAACTGGTCGTTCCAATCACGTGGTTTCCAGCCAGTTTAGCAAGTTGCACCACGAACTGCCCAGTGCCGCCAGCCGCAGCAGTGACGAGTACCGTCTCGTTCGACTTCATCTCACCCACCTGCTTCAACGCAATCGACGCAGAGCTCCCACAGACGATCAGTGGCAGTGCGTCAGAGGTCGGGGCTGGCACCTTCACTACCATCGCCATGTCCACCTCGTTGTACTCAGCAAAAGCCCCCAACTCTAGAACATACAAAATAAACTGGTCATTCTCACAATTCGTCTAGAATCTAGGATAAGCAAAACGTACTTCTGTAGGCGATAGCGTCCCCAACTTTGACGTCGGAAACTCCTTCACCCACGTCCAATACGACACCCACAGCGTCCAGTCCACAGCCGAATGGGGGAGGAAGTGGACCTGTGTAGGCTCCGTTGGTGACGTTCACGTCGGTGGCATTGATACCCACGTAGTAGTTCTTGACTACCACCGAATTAGCACCAGCTTTGGGTAGCTCTGCTTCCTCGACGATACGCGTGGCCGCTCGGAAATCCGTCGACTTGGTGTGCACTTCCAGGCGCTTGTAACTCGGCATCGCGGATGAACTTCAGCTCTGACGCAAATCTGACAATGAAGATCGGATAAGTTGGCAAGAAGTGTACCAGCAAAATGGTACATTTGTGGCGCATGCTTACGTCAACGAAGCGAGCTGTAGACCAAAAGTGGGTACTTATGCTAAAGTACATCAGCATTTGGTTAACGCACTTCTTGCCGACACTGACTACGGCGCATAGCTGACTTAGTCATCTATGATGACATCATGACTACATGTCTGTAGTTGCCTTGGTCACGCTTTCTTCTACATAATATATTACCGTATACAAGTCTGTCTTGTATCTGAGATACAGTATCTCAATGAGGTCCTTGCAACATTGGATCAGTACTCTTCGAAGGTTGGTTTGAGAATGGGGCGTGGCTGTTGCATGTGAATAGAGAAGAAAGAACCTCTCTTTTCCAAGGCGGATAATCAAGGCGGTATTAATACATGTACACTTACAAACATGCTTGTTTAACAGTTTTCGAAACTATCTGGCAACTCTATAGTCGTACTCCAACTACTACTTGGTTTATCCATCTAGTAGTCGATTATCGGCTTTCTACCATTGATCAAATCCAGGAATTCTTCGTAGAATTTGCGATTCTTGCTGCCTTTCAGCGCATTCATGCCCATTATCTCGAGGGCATGCGCTGGATCTCTCCCTGCCTTGGCCCAAATGTGGATTTTCACAGCCAACTCAAGTGGAGAGCTGTTGTCAGGCTCAAAGCTGGCTCTCTTGAACTTAACAATATCGTCGTCCAGCTTCTTCACGTACTCCACGTAGGTTTTTAACGCCTCGGACTGTTTGAATTCTTTTGCATCGAGCTTCGTGCTCAAATCGTCCAGCTGTAAAGCTTTCCAGACTTCATCGGTGGTAGTATCTTTGTTTAGCCACTGGGTCACCTTACGCGATCGAAGCTTAGACAGGAATTCGTCCAAAATATGGTAGTTCGCGTGAGATTTGAGCGCTTCCCCCGACAGCTTTTCCAGCCCAAGAATCTTCTTGGCTTCGTCGTCAGTCTTCCCAAGACTGAGTAAAGCCGTCGTTGTCCCCCACTTGGCGACTGCTTCTGCCATTTGCGAAAAGAAATCCCTCTCTTCAGCGTCGTCGGAAGTTGCTACACCACGCAGGAGTCTTGCGCGGTAAAATGTGTTGGATGTAATGACTGGAGACCACTTCGTTGAGCTTGACTCGACAGACGTCGCGAGCGTCTGGGTACAACTTGCGAGGCATGCTAGTGCCACTGCTAACAGAGCGGGATGGAGGCGCATGTCTGGAGAGCAAGGAGTATCCGGTTTTCACCTTGTCTTAACAAATAATGAAATGGCCACGAAGAAGCCGATGATCATCGATTCATTGAATACTCGAGCCAAATGGGACTTGCGATTACTACAATGTATCAACCCAGGTGGATCGGCTGTTTTTACGTGCAGTGCGGTGCGGTCCGCACAGCATACAGTAGAGAAATGGCAAAGCACACGATAAGTCCATAGCACGTGTTTTAGCTACACATTGGCGAGGAAAGAGGAAACGCACAGACAAATCCGTGAAAAACACAGATTGTGAAAAAGGTGTTTTTAATAGAGGGCGGTAGTGAGCGGGTGTGCGTAGGCGGGAACTCACCACTCTCCAGTTTCTAATGCGGGGGTCTGGGGGTGCAACCCCCAGTATGCTTTTAGTAGTGGCCCTTATCCGGTATACCGATATTTCTGTCCAATTTAACCGTAGGATCTGTGGATTTGCTTGTTCTCTCTGTGCTATTCTACCGCTCTCCACACTGGCCCAGTGTGGAGAGCGGTAGAATGCCAGTGACTGGCAGTGAGAACACAACTACAGGCGCCCAAGCAAGGATTTGCTTCCCCCAAAAAAGAGAAATCATTAGTCGCGCTTGAAGTATACTGTACTCTCTAAGCGTACATGCACAGAACCGCGACTGTAAAATAAATCGTTTAAGGGCGAAGAGCGACTGCAACACGCCTATTGGCGAGGTCGAATGGCAACGCGTCTCCATGAAAACAAATACTAGTACCGTCGCCCAAAGATGCCTGTTTGCCAAACCGCCAGCTCTCTACAGGTACAGCAGGGACAGCTGTACCTTGTTTATATTTTCTTCGCTTGTTCTAGACAAATTTGGGTCTCAGCGTTGTTATCATACTGCTACTGCAGCGTAACGATGGATGAGCACGTTCGAACGTACAATACAAACATAAAGCATCACTCCGTCTCAGTGGTACGCAAATGGACTATTGATGGAGACTAAAATTGCTGTTCGGCTCTCCCCAAGGAGAGCTCCGTTTTCTCTTATGGTAATTTTTTAAAATGAAATTCCCATAGTCAAGTGATTTGACCAGTGTGCGTCCCACAAGATTTGCCCATGACTCGAATTTGCAAATAACAGTATTATGCCCCCATTATCGACAACATTTACACAAAGTATGCAAAACCAAATTACTAGGCTTTGTATGTGAACGCGAAAATGCCCCCGTTCCCTCCCTACCAGACGTTCATCCCGCTAGCACACTCACTCCCTCACTTTGCAAAGTATTCGCGCTGCACCAGACTCTGTCAGCCTCCCTCGCCCAGCCCATCCCCGTACCATGACTAGCGCAACCAGCCACCTCTACGCCCTCCACAACGTGGAGCACTTCATCTTCACCTCAATCATCGAGGCGACGAGCGACGAGGTGGGAGCGGTAGAGTGGTGGCAACAAGCTGGGCTTCTCGAGGGCTCTAAGTGTTGCCCAGGCTGCCAGCAGCCCATGCGCTTAAGGGTCTCTAGAAAAACAAAACACTGGCGATGTTGCCGCAAGAAACGTCATGATGACGGTAGGGAGATAAGTCTGAGTATTCAAATTAATACCTGGTTTTCTGGGATGAAACTTTCGCTAGCCTTAGCAGAACGGCTACTGTATGCGTGGTGCATGCGAGTGTCGCACGCCAACACGGCGGCAATAGCGGACATGTCGGAGACTACGGTGGAGGACTGGTACGGCTACGTTCGTTGTCTCTACTCAAAGCAGCTTCAGGTACTGCTGATATTGTGTTCAAACGTGTTTGTGGAGCTCTTAGCGTGTATGGTTACTGTACTTGTAGATTGGTGGTGTGGGCTACATTGTCGAATTTGATGGCTACCACCGCTCAGGTTATGTGTGGCTTGGTTCAGCTAATTAACCGTCACGAGGTTTGTTTTTTAAATTTCATTTTGAAAAATTACAGTAAGAGAAAGCGGAGCTTTCCTTGGGGAGAGCTTGCAGTTCCATCCATTATGGGCCCATAGTATATAATCGAGGAATCCCATAAGCCTCGGTAACACTATCGAGCACCATCATTAGAAATTGCAATGGAGACACACCATAGACCACATACGGATGCATTGTACAATTCATAGTACGATGTTTTCGATACAATAGCACAGTTGTTAATGCAAACGCAACACTACTTGCAGCTTATACGATTGGTGCTAATTTGTCCAAGACGAAGGACGTTCGGGTGGCACTGCCTGGTATGTATTCACACTCCAGCCGGTACTCAGCTAGCAGCAGCATTAACCTCTTCACGCGCAATGAGTTCTCCGTAGGGTAGATAAGATTATTATGGTCCGTGTGAACCACAAAAGGAAAGCCTAACAGCATTGTCCTGTACTCGGTTGACTTACTAACATCTTGCACACTCTTAATTTAGCCACTTTTGAAGTGCAAAGCCAATGAACGATGGAAGGCTTATTGGGCATTCCGTAGCATAAAGCACCCGATACAACAAATACACAGATAAGATTGAAACGCACCACCTTGCTGGACTCTCAATGGGTACGTAGACATCCACGAGTTTGCGCAGCTCGATCAACCCTAACAAGTAGCGGGGCACATACTCTGCATTGGGATACATGCCAAACTGTAAATCACGCCCTACCAACTAACTAAAATTGTAAAATAGACTTCCTCTTTCTCTCTCAACTGTAAAACCCCTCGACAATTGTGGATATTCGTCAACCTACATGGTGGGTTTCAGCACATCTTTTTCGC